AATATATATATATATATATATATATATATATATATATATATAATATATAATATATAATATATAATATATAATATATAATATATATATATATATATATATATATATATATATATATATATATGCACATATATATATATATATATATGCACATATGTATATATGTATGATGTATAGCTTTTTTATCTTGCCGTATATTTGGAGTTAATATGGAATGAAGTAAGGGACATTGCAACGGCTGTGGTTCCATATTAATTAATCACATACTTAATTCTTTGAACGTTTTCCATGAGCTTATGTATAAGAAGACGAAATTCCTTTTCATGTTCATGGTAGGTCTAAATCGATGCACACCATAACTCGGTATAATATGAAATATTTCGCAATTAAAATTCCATTTGATGTCTTGTGCTGCGTTCGAGCCATCGGTTGTCGATTCTACAAAGATGAAAGGCTGAAACTAAAGACCATTGATACTGCAGTAACTGTACACACAAACACTGTTTAATTGAAGAAGTCCGCCAGCAATATCCATTCCATCGCAATGGCGTGCGCGATTTAGTACTGCTAACTTTATTTTCATTTTCTACCGAATGAGATCACGAGTTTCTACACTGCTTGATGCTCACCAATACCCATTCTGCATGGGCGTGACTCATACCAGCGCTCTAATCTTATTTGTTATTTTTCATGGTCGTTGAACCCATACCCCCGTATTTTTTCTTGCCTGTACGAAGTCAGATAAGCACCAGGGTCAGCAGTGGTCACGACAGCTTATGGGTACACGTTATCCCAACTTGTGCGGGATACTATACATAAAATGGCCAAACCTCTGGCTTGCAGATAGTACATTGAATGTGTTGGATGGTGAAAGAGAATATACACGTGACATTTCGTATACTTCAGAAAGCTCTAGCAAATGGATTTCGATGCTTCCTCCTAGAGCAGTCCACGATAGTAAATTCTATTACAAGAAAGCGAAACTCCGCTGAGTGTTTAGAACCCTATATAACTGCAATGCTAGATATCAACACGTTAGAAGGAAACCAAGGTGGTCGCTTCAAACACATACCCACGTTCCACGGTAAGTACTTGTGCTTCACCATATGCTTAATCTGCCGTTTCATCGTGACGGTGAATAAGATCAGAAAGTATAGCACTAGAATCGGCCAGAATACCGGTACATCGAACACCTGGATATGAATGTGACAGACGCCATATCTTGAGCTCAAGGGCAACGTAGATAATTTCGCTTACAAAGTGATCGCACTGGAAGTACTTGATGGCGTTTGTCTCAAAACACATCCAACCCGAATGCTGGTCTCAACGTGATCTCACAACAGTAGCCGCTGCTTCACATAGTTTCACAGGCGATAACAGAACAAATCAATGCATATGATAGAAGAGTAAGGCCGATACATGTAAAATAAAGTGTACCACACATACAATCGCATACCTAGAAGACACAGAACAAATCAATGCATATGATGGAAGAGTAAGGCCGATATGAAAAAAATAAAGAAAACCACGCATACAATCGTATACCTTGAAGAATGAGCAGAATATGGCTGTGAAGACTCCTTTCATTGCGCTCAACCTGTGAGTAAAATAAGTAGAATACAAGTTTAAAGCTTGATGTGTTGCTGAAAAGCTTCAATAGGCCACAAGAAATTACAAGCTGCACGCAGAAATCGCTTATCGACGTATCACAGAACTGTGCATAATAAGCGTTGCTTTCAATGACATATCATTCGATTGCTTTCAGATGAGTATCAAATCCCATGAAGTGCGTATTAACTAACCAGAACTTGAATTCAGGAAGCCTCCGAACAAAGGGCTTGAAGTCTTCGTCTGCATTTGTGGGTAGTGAAGGTCCTGAAGTGTACAAAAAAAATCAGTCGCATCAATGGCTGCATAACGAATATGTAGAAAAGGTCCCAAGCTTCGCCCAACACTAGAGACGATCGTAAAAACAACAGCTCACATCATGAAGTGCGATGGTTGCTATCAGTTGAACATCCATATCGAGCCGTAGATTCAGTGTACCTACAACCATACGCTATTTGAAACAATGCGATACAAACAGATGGACAAATGCTGAACAATAAGTGACACGAGTATTTAAAATTGTAAGCAATCTCCACCGATTCTAATACAAGTCTTTCACCATACGTTGACTCGACGAGTGAATCAACGGGATCCTGAACCAAGGAACGGGACAGCCAAGGGCACAGCCGGGCTGTTTGTTGATCCTAACAGATAGGTTGAATAGGCTTCGTCCGCTAGGCGGTCGTGATTGTATACATGCATGCAAGGACACACACCCACTTTAATCTAACTGTACTACCATGTATCTACTTCTGACTATTCGATCAATGCACAGAACAAGCAGTTGTACATAGTACAGGCAACATTGCTTACCGTCATCTTCCTCCTCCATTTGTGACGAAGGTTCGAATCGTGGTGACAGGAAAGCTATGAACATATTCAGGACATATATGGCAAAGGCATAGGCGATGATGTACCACCCTGTTTAGCAAACGAGAAAATGTGAAGTGTTTGGGAAGCTGTGAAGATTGATTGACCAAGTGGCATAAAAAAATCCACCTTTTAAGCCAAAATGTATAGAAGTACAATGCGAGACGTGGGCTTGCTAGCCACGCTGGAGACATATATTAAAATTACACGCACTGATCCCATCGAACGTATAACATGTTCGCAAATACACAGAAATAACTTAACGGGTGTCAGGTGGTTTTCATCACTAGGCCTACGAAGACAAGGTATAAGCCATCACACCATCTGCTCAACTATTTGAGTTGGTGACTAACCCTTACAATTCACAATCAGTCCCGATTCATTCTGAAGTGTCAAGAGCTAAAAGAGAGTACACTGAATTGATGTGTAAAGTTACTATTCGCATGCGGCAACATCGACACGGTTGAAAAAAAAAACGACAGTGCAATATCAGCGTGCTCCCTCAACTTCCATCGAATCAAAAATGTTTTAGATCGAGATTAGGATGGATTCAACTCTACAAATCAATACGTATGAACCCGATTTTATATACGTGTAGTACTGACACTCACCTTGTGCTAATAAAATTCGGATGATGAATAGGCAAACCAGAACGAAAAATAAAATCCATCGCGCAGTATGTTTCGGTGTAGACCAATCTAAAAGTACTTGGTACCTCTGTAAAGGAACAGAAGATCGATTTCAAATCAGCACATGCAGCTTAGAGGCTTACTAAAATAATACCGAAAAATTATGTATATGTTAATATGAAAATGTATAGATAATCCATACATACACACGCACACGCGCACACACACACACAAACT